TCATCCGTCGGTCACGTGACACATGTTTTATGGTCCATTTAGGCCAAACATTTCGAATTTGATGTCGTCTGTGTCATGCGAGGTCATTTTGAGTCAAATTTAGCTTAGTTTAGGTCACTTTCAGGTCAAAAAAGGTCAAATTTTGAAGTTAAAATTTTTCAACAAAAAAGGTGTCTATTGGATGCAGTTTGAGCTCAGGAACACGATGGTGCTATTTATATTGGCGTACGATGTCAAATTCGTGCTGAAAATTGATTTGAAAAATTGATAATTGTTAATTTTTTGCAATAATGCGTATAACTTGGCCATTTTTGAAGATATTTAGCTCACACATGCTAGAGGTAGTCATAATAATGCGTTCTATCACATATATTCCGGTTTTTTCGAAAAGTCAAAAACTTTTTGAAAAAAATGTAAAAATATAAATTTTGAATTTTATTATTTAAAATTTCCAAAATTTTCGAAATTTCGAAAATCCGAGATAGCAGTTTGATAGCGCAGTCTATTCTGAGCCCTCTCATGCAAAGAAATGGGATCTAGCTTAAAAACTGAGCTCTTAGGAGCGATTGCCGTGGTTCAATGTTTTGCGTCGAAATCGGCCGAACATGACGTCACTCTGACGTCATTTCCGGCCGACCTATGGTAGGTACGAAGTTCAAATTTTGACACAAGGTGTCAAATTGATGCAGCCGAAGGTACTGAAAGTTTGGCGTCGATACGTCAAGCGGTTTGGAAGTTATTGCAGAAAAACGGGAGGGGGGCTTTAAATAGCCCCCCCCCCAGTGGGGCGCGGGTTAATAGCTGCAAACATACCTACCTATTTTGTTACATTTGTTCTAGAGCAGCAGTAAAATATTGTTTTGGACATAACAGTAGCACCATCTTCACATCCCAACCCAACCCAACCCATAATAAACCAGTCTCAGCTGAGATTTAACACAGTACGCTCGCCCGGTTATATAGCGCCCATAAACACATTCAACACCTGCCAAAGGTAGGTATGTGACAGACGGTGGTCGGGACCTGAAACGACGGGCGAGGCACTAACGTTCGGTTGTGTTGGGAAAATCAGTGACTACGTGTATGCGATGCTGACTGAATCGGAAGCATTTGCGAATGCTGTTTCTTACTGCGGGAGTAAGACCACTCGAGCGCCGTTTATTTTCCGTGCCGATAGCTTTCCAATTTGTCAGACAGATAAGTCATCAGCACCTTTTCTTCAACATTCCCCTAATCCTATCAGTATTTAGCATCTTTTCGGTCCATATTCTAAAATAAATCCTAATAATTGAAGGGTCAATCCCCAGCTATGATATATTCTGCTTATCAAGTAAATGAATTGATAACCCTACTGCCTGCTACGCGTTTAATTCCACCTCCAAAAGTAGCAAGCACCAGTCTATTGATTCACTCCAGTCTCGCTCGGAGCGCCAGATTTCGGCGTTTCTGTGCCCTGGACAGCTGGACCGACGGGTCATTCATTGGCCGACGGCTAAATGGTTTTATTGCGGGGGGATCAAATGAGGGTCATCCACCGCGGTACAATAAACCGCATCCACGACAGCGGGACTGCACCAGGCTGTATCTCCAGAGCGGCGCATTCTTGGACTCCAATTCGCCCCTGTTTGACTCGAAGGAATTAATTTGCTCGCGCGCACGTGCTCCACCGATTAGTTTATTAAGCAGCATGACGTGACATGAGACGAGTAGGGAGGTGAGGGGAGCTCACCGGAGTTCGAGAGGCGGGTTTGAGACCGCTTCCAGTGGCAGCAGCGGTTCGGTTAGGCAGCGGACTTCCGTTCATCGGGTGAGGAGGGGGGGGGGGGGCGTGGGCTGGTCTCGGGAAAGCCGGCGGACGGCTGGTGGACAGATGTGTCCCAACTCCGTGGGAGATGGGGACGGATGTGCTGCGCCCTGCCGGCTGGACCCCGGGCCCAGGGCTGCCCGTCACTTCTCTGGGAAGGTGCCGGCATCACTGAGGCTGCCACATGTTGGACTAATGAGAAGAGGATACAGGACAATGTAGCTGACTAACCGGACTCCGAAACGTCCAGCGATTACTCAAGGCTGAGTCAATGCTGACTCGGGCCGGTCCTAATAAATTTCCGACTGAACCATTTCGCCTCGGCTAAAGGCATGGGTGCACGTAGGGGTGACCAAGCGCGGCACGGGGGGGGGGGGGGGTACCTCGAAAGAGACTGGAGTCAGCACGGGAAGAGGGGAGGGGGAGTGGACGTCCTCCACGTGGAGAAGATTGGAAACGTGGACCAGAAGAAGCATGGTGGACACCAGCCGTTATTCGTAACTGTATCAAATAATAATCATCGATGCCGATAACTTCCGACATTGTAAAGTAGGATCGCCCGCTAATTTCGAAGTTGCCCCCACTCAGGTAAACACTGTCTTTATTCTGCCCCCAGGTCGTGCCATGCATAATCGTCAGGACTAGCTGCTCTGTGCAGAAATATGCGTCTCACCACTCCACCCACGTGGGTGAACAAGACGCCGTGGCGGCGACAGTCCCCACTCCCCAGTCCCGACCATTCCTTCGTGGGAGGAGAGGGAGTCGGGAGGACCGGAATAAACACCTCCTTTGCTATGTCCTCTGCCTTCTCAATGAGACAGAAATACGACACCCGGACGGTGACAAACACGATCTCAGCTCCCGAAAACTGGCGACCGAGCGCGGGAGGACATTCGATACCTGCGCCGGCGGCGTTCCACAGCAGACCACGTGCTGCGCGCCGTTCGCGGGAACGACATCGGGGTCAAAGGAGACGCATCGAAAGGCCAGAGGAGAGACGAGGAGACGCCGACTGACGGATGGAGACACGGGGGACGGGCAAAGGAGACGTGGAGGGGGGACAGGCGAGAGGCAGTTGAGGGACGAGCGAAGGACACGTGAGGGACGAGTAATCGACATGAGGGACATAGGATTGATACCAGGGCAGGGGTCAATGAACGAAAAACAGCGCAGAGGGCATGACGGGAGAAGAGGAACACGAAGTGACAGATCAAAGCGAGTCAGAAAGACAATGAGGATCAGGGAGGAAGGGAGGGGCTCGGGTAGGCAGGGAGAGAAAAATAAGAAAGAAAGAGAGAGAGAGAGAGAGAGAGAGAGAGAGAGAGAGAGAGAGAGAGAGAGAGAGAGAGAGAGAGAGGGGGAGAGGGAGGGAGAGAGGGAAAACTGTAGTGAAGAGTCGAAGAGGGAGCGGTGTCGCTCGGCGATCGGCGAGAGTGTGGGCAGAGTTGGTGAGACGGCAGCCAAGTGGCACCGCTCCGGCTGTCAACCCCAGACCGATGGCATTCCTGGTCTGTGTGCGTCACCAACCGACCGACTGGGAGGGAGGGGTGTCAGGGGGGGAGGACAGACCCTTCGCGAGGGGTCGGGCGGCGGGGGGAGGGGCGGGGACGGCGGCCCGTCACCGTGGGACGGGACCGCGCGGTCCGGACGGCGCCGCCTTGAAAAAGGAGCGGACACCCCCCGCCGCGCCGGCCGCCGTCCAACGGAAACCGGCCAACAACAGACGGCGGCGCCGGCCAGTGTTTGGCCCGACGGCCTCCGACTGGCCGGCGGGGACGGACGGACGACCACATGGCCGCGCCGAAATCGCCTCCCGCGCCAACCTCGCCGCGCCGAGACCGGCGTGGTCGGTAGGGTCAGGCCGGGGTCGGCCGGGGGAGGGCGGAGCCGGGCCCGACTGAGGAAGGTGTCCTCGCCCCGCCGCGAAAAATGCCCGACGGTTTATCTGATAGGATGGAAATGTGCGCATAATAGGGTAAGTACGGGACCGCCGAAATAGGTATTGTTGGAGAGGGTTGAATTCCGAGGGGTGTTCACCGTTCACGGGCACCGCACACTGCTGCGTGCGGTGTGTGCGGAGCGTCCAGCAGGCGTGGGGGTAGGGGATGGGTAGGCGGCTCTGACGTCACGGCTGCGTGCGGTGGACGGTCCGCTGTGGCCAGTCCCGACCGGCCACAGCGATCGCTGTGTGCGGTGACGGAAGGCTGACGTAGGGACGCAGTGGGCGGAGCTTGGAGGCTGTGTGCGGTCCGACCGCACACAGGGCCCGTGAACAGCCCTCCGGAGAAAGTGACCGTTACTTTCCGAAGTAAAAATAACAAGAGCTGGATAGGACGGGCAGAGGACACGTGAGGATGGATCGACAGGCGAACCGGCCAGTGGGGATTACGGATGGTCGGGTATTGGAAGGACAACCCTGGAATGAACAGCAATACGCTTGAGAATCGGTATTCTTATTTGAAGTGCCGCAAGGACGTGAACTACACGAAAATAGTTAGCCGTCCCTCCCTTCACAGTACACATGGCCGACAGCCGTAAGGCCACACAACCACGTCGTATCCACACGATTCATGCACGCACATTCCTCCATTCATTCACACAGCTCGACAGGTGGTCTGCACGTAAGCCATCGCAAGGTCCGTAGCTTAGAAGTAGGCCTACACCTGAGCGTCACAAAACGAGATGACAAAAAGATTTGTGATCCGACCGACGGCTTGCTTATATTCACATTATCTCCAACGTGCATTTCCTCTGTGTTTGCCCGTCCGGGAAATGTCGACTGAGCAACATTTGTAGGGCGATTACAAACTGCTGGGCGAGCATGCAAAACTTTCCTTTCCACCGACGAATATGGAGTACGCGCCAGTCGAAGTTTCAACACTTTGGCAGATCCCCGTCGGTCGGAGCTAGTGATCGTCGATCACAGCAAGTCACGACAGCAAGTGAGCCTTTGTGGATGGCGCTTTTCTAACTCCACGATTCTACAGATTTATCGGCAGAGTTCGGGAGATAAATAATGCATAGGTCTAGCTAAATAGAGATAAATAATGCACAGGTCTAACTACATAAGGGCGCCTCGATCAATGAAACATTTTTTTTTTTCTCATAACGATAATAAATACGATATCTTCGATATGAAGCAATATGATGATCACTGGCACTTGCTGACTAAATCAGAGCAGTCAAAAGCACAACACTGGCCAATTTCTCTTTTATTTCGAACCAATGCAAACAAGATTACCCGTATAATTTGAACGGACTTCCAATCACAAACCCATGACTAATTTGAAACGAAATCAAAGACACCTGAACACAGAATCGTTGCTAACGTTAACTCCACCTCAAACACGGAACTTAATTTATGGGCGACTCGAAAATAAGACAGCAGAAAGACGCCGACCACATACAAACGGATTTCAGTAACCAGAGTAAAACTCATTACAAACGGAAGAAACTCGCACGTTTTTAATCAAAGCATAGCGTTACAAGGATGTAAATAATAAATATGTAAGTTGTCTGCTGGTGCCTGATGTTTCTCAGCTCGCCAGCGAAGTTACAAAGATCTAAGTCGCAACTTTACGCACGTTAGGATTTCCAAAGCGTAGTTATGAAGAGTAGTTATGTAGCTCCAATAAAACAGCGGTTGCTCGTAGCAAGCAGAGAAAAGGTTTATCCATTGCGAGAGGGTAGGATATTTCGAGAAATGAAGCAGAGGCGACGAGGGGCACGGCAGACGCTTGGCTGGCAAACGAGTAATCAAAACAGAATGTCCCAAAACGCAGCTCGGTCGCGTAAAACGTGGGGCGGAAGTGGTCGGAAGGATGGCGGAATATTCAGCTGTGGCCTGTGACTGTGGGCAGCAGATTTAAAAACATAAAAGAGAGGATGGAGAGGGAAGGATATGATAGGATAGGCCAGGAATGAGAGCGAAAAGAAATGTAGGCGGGGACGCGGCCAGGGGAGAAGGAGGACAGAAGAGGATATGAAAACCGGAAAGAAAGAACGCTGCCGAGAGAGACAAGTCAGAGTCGAGTTAGATAGATGAAGAGACAAGGAGCGGCGAAGTCCAGAGCACCGGGGCAGGTTCGTCGCTCCCCGGTATCGCTGATCTCTGCCGCCATCGGGCGGGCGCCGCCCGACTCCTGACTGGAACGGGGCGGGCCCCGCACCGCGCTGACTCCGTCTGGGTGACTCGGACCGACTCAGCGCGACTCGGGCGACTCAGAGTCGCCGTCGGCTGTGCTGGACGCGGCTGACGGCTGTCCAGGCTGTCCGGCGACTGTCGGGTTGTCTGTCTGGCTGTGCAGACGCCTCGGACGGGCAGTCAGGCCGTCTTCAGGCGATGGCCGTGGTCTCTCAGAGTTTGATGTGTTTCAGTCGGTCGCCACAGTCCCTCAGCTGCGACCCTTGCTCGATAGCGCCCACTTGGAGTGAAACGCGGTGATCAGCTCGAAATGGATACCTGTCAGCGGACCGGGACAAGACGGGGGGGGGGGGGGGGGGGGCTCAGACGCCTGGTGAGGGGCACGGTCCCACTGGCGCCCGCATGGCAAACATCCTATCGGCATGGCAAACACTCTACATAGTACATACATGAGTCCACGGCATTGTAAATAAGACGCCGATACACTGACGCCGGATTATGTATACACACAAACCGCAATCCAACAAGCGTGAAATCATCCGCTATATAAAGAGCACTCTGCAACGAAACCGAACCACGGAAATTGCTTGGCGGTTGCTAGATCTAGGAGACTTCTGCCGTCAGTCTCTATATCTGCCCGGTCTTTAGGTTTGTAGCCTCTAATCCCTGGAGACTAGCAATGTCTCGCAGACAATATCTAGCTCCCAGGCCATAGAGCATGAAACCCGCCCCAGCGCGTGCCCTGGCCCACCTGCGGCCGAGGCGAGGCCCCGCGGACTGAAGTCCCGGCCCGTCGCTGCCTCCTCGCCGGCCACGAGCAGTGTGACGGACGGAGGGGCGCCAGGGTCCGGCGCCGGCACCGACCGACTCAGGTGGTTACAGCACTCGAGAATCTGGAAAAAGTGCCTGCCCACGCACGCAGAATACAGAGGATAGTGTCAGAGAAAATGGAGTGTCTGAGGGATAGGGAGTCAAATGTGGTCATTGTAGCGTAGCGTAGTCGTTCCGTTTCGATATCCCCACTTAAGCTAAATTACAGCATAAATATCTGAAAACAGGCCGGTCGAAGTGACGAAATCCTCCTCCAATTTCACGAAACTCACAGCTCACTCACTAACTTAACGGCACGGCAACATTAATATAAAGTTCAGTGACATAATATTCAGACCCGAGATGCGACATGCAATGGGTGATTTCCCAATTCCCATGCCTATCAAGTGCGACGGGCCGCCAACGGCGCCGCCACGTGGTCGAGTTAGGGGGCGTCGGGGGGGGGGGGGGCGTCAAGGGACAGACAGCCACACAGCCAGCGATAACGCCCCCGACGCTGCAGGCGTAGATAACCGCACGTGGTGCGAACACGTGCCCTGGCCACACCCTCGTGCAACTCACCACACGTTTTGCACTTTTCTGTACAATAAGCTCACCGTAGTTGATAACCGAGCATTGAGCGAGAGGGTCCCGCGAATTACGGAAAAAAACACTAAGAGGCCAAGCAGATAACCTCCCTTTTTCAAGAGATTCTACGACAACTGAATCTAGCTAGCATTAAATTTGGAGCTCAATGTCTTAACTTCAAACGTGACATCCGTCATCCCGTCCCAGTTCGTCATATTTGGGAAGTACACAGCCGCCGAAATAGATGTCGCTGAAACATAGCTTTCGCTCACATCGATATTCGCTTTACTCGAAAAGTCGTTCATATTGACAATCGTTGTAATGGCAGCCACTGAAAATGATTCGCTCTTATGCCGTTCGCTCAAATGACACGCTAAATCGCTCCCACCCGGTTTCTCGATGATGATGATTTCGGGATTTAGGGTGCCTGGATTACGGTAGTCATCTACGTCCATTGCTGATTGCACCGCTTGTCACACAGACGATCAAGTTCCTGTAAATCAATACTCCCCAATTCGAAAACCCCGACATTTCCTCACCACTGCTCCCTCTGTTTGCGGCGCGGGTACTTGACCATCTCGATGGAGGCCTTCTCGTTGGCTCTCTGCGGCCTCAGGAAGCGGTTACCGCGGCGGAACTGGGCCTCCAGCCAGCGGCTGGCTTCGCGAGAGCTGGAGCACCCCGCCTTACGTTCATCCAGCTCGTGGATCACTGCAGAATAGAGGGGAGTAAAGTCTGAATTTGGGCTTTTCGGGGGCTGAAATGCACCTGTCATAGGTGCTGATATAAATAGAGCAAACAGTGAGGAGAGTTTAGTGTCTCATGGCGCGCAGAGGCCCAAACAGGTCACAGGCAAACAACAGAGAGCTGCTATCATCTTCAAATACCATACGGATTAACAGTTCCGGGTAACCTGTACTGGCGGCAAACCACTCAACAAGTGTACACACATCACATCAAACATCAGCTCACTATGGGTTAGCTCATTGCACAAAGTCAACAATGTTGTCAGATATAGTCAGTTTCGCTCCACAAGATTGTCTTCCATCAGTCATCAAAAGAGGCCATAAGGAGAAAGTGAGGTTATCCTGTACATCACCAGGATAATCACACATTCCGACACCCCATTAAGACCCTCCCCCCACAACCAACCACCATTCCGTGTTTTCCATCCTCAGGATAGTCAAATCCTTCTCATCCACGCCTCAACTCCCCGCTCCGGGCTGGACGGGTAACTTTATCTCATGCGGGGTAGCCCCCCCCCCCCAGATAGGACCAAGCCCATAGCCGGGTGCGGTGAGTGCTGGGGGGGGGGGGGGGGGGGCTGGTCGGCCTGCCCACTGGATGAGCTCAGCCCCGGCGACTTACCAGGGTACTCACTCAGACCAATGTCTCCCCTATTACTATCATCATCCCGGTTCTGAAATGGTCTCAATAGACCAAAAGCTCCTAACCCAACAAATCAAACAAACCAAAACAAGCACAACCCACCTGCATTGGGCACGACGACCACAAACTGTCGGTCCTTGACCATCTGTTTGAGCTGCTCCAGGTGGTGGACCAGCGCGCCCGTGTCCACCACCACGTAAGGCGAGAAGCTGGCCTGGCCACCGCGCCGCGCGGTCCGTGAGCGCAGCGAGCGCACCTCGGAGCGCAGCCACTGCTCGGCCATGTTGGACATCAGCTGGCGCCGCCGCTCGCCACTCTGTGCGGGGGACGAGGGTTCGAGACTCAACGCGGGCGGTGGTGGTTGGCTTCTGACATCTTGCGGTAAGAGAATCGTCAGCAAAATCTTGACATTGAGTGTTTACTAAGTCAGGTAAGAAACGAATATGTAACCAGTATAACGCCTTATGGGGCGACTAACGGAGCGAGCGAGAGAGTGGGCCTTGCACGTGCGAAATTTCGAGGGGGTACCTCCAACTGACTTGTGCACGGCACCCTACTAACCGGTCTCTAGCGATGTGCCAAATTTGAGCACAATCGGCCCAGCCGTTCTCGAGATCTGGAAGCGGCACCCTGCACGTGCGCACGTGCAAAATGGGTCCCAACTGACTTGTGCACGGCACCCTACTAACTGGTCCCTAACCGTGTACCAAATTTGAGCGCCATCGGTCCAGCCGTTCTCGAGATCTGGAAACGACCCCTGCACGTGCGCACGTGCAGCAGCACCCCAACCTTAACACATGCAGATGAATTATCTGATGGAGACCTAACTGTGTACCGAGTTTCAATTCAATCGGCCCAACCGTTGTGCCGTTATTGAGGTTGCAATTTTGGGGGTTCTTAAAAAATGTCCAACTTTACCACGCGCCACGTGCGGTGGTTGGCAAGAACGCATGGTGGCCATCACACCACAGAACTTTTACGTCCAAGTGACATTCAGTAAAGAAGACCGCTTGTCAATCGGATGTCCCGTTCCTAAGATATTAGCTTTTGAAGAGCGTCCCCACGGCCGGCCGGCCGGCCGGCCGCTCATACTCAGAAATTTCCGTTAATCTAAGGAAAGACTCCGCTCGCTTCGCTCGCTCCGTAACTAGCCTTTAAACACTGATTGAAATCGAAAACAAATACTTACCAAGAACAGACAGCTGGAAATTCTGGTACACCCTAATTATACCCTAATCAGCTCCGAAACACTGCCTAAGACTCATGCAGAGCTCAGAATACGATTTTCTCCTATGAACATTTACCCCGGCAAACGGTCAGCAATAAGCAGACTGGTTTTTGATTCACCTTTTTTGGATCGATTCAATCATTGATTTATTTGATTTTTGTTTGATTCAATCACCGTTTGATTCCTTAAAAAAATTTGGTGAATCGATTCCTTTTGATTCAGAGAATCAAAAAACAATAAAAGGAATGATTCACGTTTGATTCAGCCAAATTTTTTTTGAATGATTCTTTTTTGATTCAATTAAAAAACAAAATATACAAAATATCAGGGATAGTATTGTATTTGTTGTGTTCTTTTTGTTGTCATGTAATGGCAGTAGTGTTAATATTTGTTGATAATGAACTATGTTCGTTCACTTCATTTTTTTTTTAAGTTCATGAATCATTAATTTTTTTTATTCAATCAACCCTGATTCCCAATGCGTTTGATTCAATCATGGCTTGTGAATCAAACAATCCTGACGGTGAATCAAACCTTTTTGATTCAACAAATTTTGTTTGATTCAATCCAATCGATTCAATCACAGATTAATCAAACACCAGTCTGGCAGTAAGCACCACTTCTAGCTCCCAGACCCTGCCGCCTGCCGTCAGCCGACCCGGCCCGGCCTAACCTCACCTCCTGGTCCTCTCTGTATTCCATACGTGCGCTCCCCGCCCTGTGCTCCGTTTGTGTGCTCCGATTACAGCCTGGTCATCCTCTCTGTGTTCCGTACGCGTGCTCCCCACCCTCAGTGTTCCGCGGGTGTGCTCCCCGCCCTCAGTATTCCATTTATGTGCTCCCTACCCTGAGTTCCATCGGTGTGTTCCGCTCACCTCCTGGTCGTCCTTCAGAGCTCCGTTGGTGTGCTCCGCCGCTCCTGTGGCCGAGGAGGAGGACGTGTGGACGAACCTGCCGGCCACCTGGGTCACTCCCAGCTGGGGGACCAGCGTCAGCCACGAACAAAAGTCCACCAGCAGCTGGACACGCAGCAGCGCCTGCAGGAGCGACGGCACGTCAGAGCGAGGGTGCGAGGACGGGTGAATATCTAGTTCTACCTGCCAACTAGTCAGACAGGGTGGGCTTTTATGGTGAGGAGCAAGACGACGGAAATAACATCTTGACGTGGTTGCGAAAAAAGCTTACTGCTAACTTCAGATAAATAAAGTTTAAAGTTGTCATAAACCTCGACTTGAAGTTGTCCCTTAAATAGTTTGCGCTTTAAACTCTTAAAACGGCAAAAGGAAATCGCCTCAGATATCGCACAACTCATAACTTAATTGGACCTCACAGACACATCACCTGCTAGTTTATTTGCCACGCCACAGTACCTCCTCGGGCGGCGATAGTGTCTGCCGCAGCGGGTCGTTCCAGTCCATGTGCTGGTGCCGCGTGCCCAGCAGGTGGACGCCCCGCAGCAGACGGTCCTCCCATAGAGGGGTCGACTGCGCCAGGGAGGCCGGCGCCGCCGCCAGCTGACGGAGAAACTCGCCACGGGCGCCCTCCACTGTGGAAAGAGGGGGGGGGGACAGTGAGGAGTAGGGTGGTTGGTAGAGAGAGGAGGAATATGACTGGACGGAATCAAAACAATTTTGAGCTACTAGTTAGTTAGTGAGGGCTGCTCCACACCAACCTGACACGGAACATGATATACATAAAACAGAGCTTTCACTGCATCCCAAAATCAAATGACTGGAAAGAATCATCCCGTTTTATGGCCTCTTGAATGGTTGTATTGTATGCCTTTTTGCGCTCACCTCTGGTGTCGGTGGTGACCTCTGTGGTGACGGCGTTCACCAGCTGCACCAGGTGACGCCACAGCTCGGCACTACTCTCAGTGCACGAGCGTAGCACATCCTCGTTGGCACGCAGCCAGTCGCAGCAGATACGCAGAGGGACCAGCAAACCTGGAAATGTAGGAATGGAAATCAAAGACCGGGAGCAGCAGATACGTAAAGGGATCAGCAGGTCTGGGGAACGCGACGGTATATATCATAGACATAGGTGCTAGATACAGGTCATAGACAGGCCAGCTGATGGGAGCAGCACATATGCTGCTCCCATCATTCGAGGCATATGCATCATTCTTGGCATTCGAGGCATATGCATCTATATTCATCATCGACTGAAAGTTTCCAACGTACATTTTCCAGATTCAAGATTTAAAGAGCAACTTTGGGTACAATTGTGCTTGGAAAACAATGACGTGCTACTTGCCGGATGCATTTATCGCAGCCCCTCAGGCGACCCCCATCGAAGTGTTGATGATTTGTCTTGCTTACTCCAAAATGCGATTTCTCTCAAGCACACTCACCTGCTCATTGTTGGGGATTTTAACATTCCTCAGATTGACTGGGAAAACAACTTTTGCAGCGCATCTGAAGCACATTTTGCCAACAAGTTTTTGTCTGCCGTTCAGGATGCATTCCTGTTCCAGCATGTCACCAAGCCTACCAGATTTAGAGAGGGTTGTAGGCCTAGTATACTGGATTTGGTGTTTACAAATGATGAGAATATGATAACAAAGATCAAATATTGTCCTGGATTAGGAAGGAGTGATCATGTGCTACTGAAATGCGATATTGCCTGTTACAACAAAAAATGCTCTTCTGCCGGCTTGAAATGGAATTTTCACCGCGCTGACTTCACGGCCTTGCGTGTAAAACTACATGCAGTTGACTGGAGCTGTTTGTCAACCATGAGTGTAGACGCGGGTTACGAGTGGTTTAGGAGCAAACTTGAATCGCTGATGAGTGAGTGCATACCCAAAGCAAGAAACGTCAAGTCTAAAAAGAACGTTTACATGAATAGCCGTTCACTAAATCTCAAGAAGAAGAAGAAGAAGGTACTGTGGTCAGTGTACATGAGAACGCAAGACCCCATCGACTATAGCAGATATAAGATTTGCAGAAATAAGCTTAGGACATTGACTCGCCAGTTAAGGAAAGATTTTGAAGCTAAGATATCAGCAAACATGAAAGAAAACCCGAAGGCTTTTTGGAAATATGTGAACAGCCGCCGTAAAGTTAAATCAAGTATTGGTGATCTAAGAAACGACCAGGGCCAGCTTGTTAGCGAGGAAAAAGAGAAGGCCTCGCTCCTGAATGACGTCTTCTCAGGCGCATTCACTATTGAAAAAACGGATGTCGTGCCACAACTAGCAAACCGTTACACAGGGCCGCCGCTGATCGATATACCAGTCAACCTTTTCACAGTGAAGCAAAAGCTTAAAGCACTGAACCCCAATAGTGCCCCAGGAGCTGATGACATTCACCCCCGCGTTTTAAGGGAATTGAGTGGTCCTCTCTCCCTTCCCTTGACCTTACTGTTCCGAAAATCGCTTGAAACTGGGTCTATTCCTGCAGACTGGAAGCACGGTAAAGTCATACCAATCTTTAAGAAAGGTGAAAAGGAAGACCCAAGAAACTATAGACCTGTCAGCCTCACATCTGTTCCCTGTAAGATTCTCGAGTCGCTCATTCGTGATTGTTTAATGGACCATTTGCTGTCAAATGACCTGCTGTCCAAGGACCAACATGGCTTCCGCCCGAAGCGATCTTGTGATACGCAACTGCTTGACTCTATAGACTCATGGAGCCGTCTGTTGGAGGACAAGACGGAGGTCGAAGTGATTTACCTTGACTTCCGAAAGGCGTTCGACTCCGTCCCACACAAGAGACTGATAGGCAAGCTGCGCTGTTATGGTATTGGTGACCGAGTGTTGTCTTGGATTGAATCATTCCTGGAAGACAGAATGCAGCAAGTGTCCCTATATGGAAACCTGTCAGATTTGGTCCCTGTGCGCAGTGGTGTGCCCCAAGGCTCAGTGTTGGGCCCATTGCTCTTCTTGCTCTATGTCAATGACTTGCCAGATGCTGTCACTTCAAATGTGCGAATGTTCGCAGATGACACAAAGCTGTTCTCAGGCATCTCTTCTGAACATGATGTGCGGACATTGCAGGCAGACCTGAACGCCCTCGTGGAATGGTCTAGAACTTGGCAGCTGCCATTTAACGAGAATAAGTGCAAAGTGCTTCATGTTGGTGCAGCCAAGGACCACCACTCATTTCAAATGGGGTCGGACAGACTGACAAACATGTCAGTCGAGAGAGACCTGGGTGTGCAGGTCGACTCAATCTTGAAGTTTCGACAGCAAGCGTCTACGGCGGTCTTCAAAGCGTCTCAAGTTCTTGCGGTCATCCGCCGGTCCTTCGCCTTTTTAGATGAATTTACCCTGCCTCTTCTGTTCAAATCTCTCGTGCGGCCTCACCTGGAGTTCAGCAGTCTTGTTTGGGGTCCGTTCAATAGAGCTGATCAGAAGGCAGTTGAAAGGGTTCAAAGAAGAGCCACCCGGTTAGTGGTGAGCATCCGCCACCTTCCATATCCTGAAAGGCTGAAGAGACTGAAGCTCCCGTCACTGTACTATCGGCGTAGACGCATGGATATGATTCACGCATACAAGATGCTGCACGGCCACGTTGATACTGATCCTTCAGAGCTTCTGGCAACGAATCCTGAAAGGCGAACTCGGGGTCACACACTTAAACTACGGAAGCCTCGTGCAACCTGCCGTGCCAGACTGAATTCATTTTCTGTGCGGTGTATTAACGATTGGAACGGGCTTCCAGCAGAAATTGTACATTCGCCCTCAGTCAACGTCTTTAAGAACAGGCTGGATGCACACTGGGAGTCGATCTGGTACTCCACTCCTGTAACAGACTGAGTACTAAGTGAAGTTATGGAAATCGGCGAGAACGGGCCCTACAGGACATCGTGCCTCTTGCCCCGATAACACGAAGATGAAGATGAAGATGAAGATGCAGCGGCACCACCAGAAGACCTGGAGAATGCATACATGCGAGGTCACGTCAACCGTATAATTAATTACAATTATTATTTTCCAAGAGACTGCGCAGGGATAGTGCCTTTAGGTGTCAATTCACTACCTCACTACCGACCACCCCAGCTCAACGTCCACCACCCGTAGCGCCGCCTACCTTCGTCTTTGAGCACGGCAGTGAGTTCGGCGGCGCCGGGCCGGCCGCCGGCAGACCCGGGCCGCTCGTCCCCCTCAGAGTCAGATCCGGCCGAGCACAGCGAGTCCGAGTCGGAATCGGAGTCGTCACTGAGACCCGGCAGGGAGAGCTGCGACAGCTGAGTCATCTGGGAGAGCAGCGGCGGCTCCTCCTCGTCTGCCGGAAGGGGTAGGTAAGGGGAGGGGTTAGACAGTCCTCAGCGGGACGGGTGGATAAGGGAAAGGTATTGGACAGGGCTGAACAGGCTCCTCGTCTGCCAGATGGGTGGGCGAAGGTGATGGATTAGGTTAAGGAGTGAAGGACACGGGTCAGCGCTAATTTTTGGAATATGCCAGGAGGCGAGCCATGGCTTTCGTAGGCCCGGGCGGACTAATAACTGGACAGAGGAATAGCGGACGTGTGAACAGATACACTTTGGAATGAATACAACTTCGATATACTATAAGAAAGCAAATCCATCATATAGAGAGGCATTTAACAAAAGTATTCAGTATCAAGACAACACCTTTTTAAAGATAAACACCCAATGATCAGTATAACCAGGCTCAATCACCGCCCCCCCCCGTACCATTACCAGTAAGCCTCCCATACAGTCCTGTGCCCCTCCTCCCCTCACTCACCCTCGCTATCATCATCCGGCGCTCGGCGCCTACGACTACGCTTCCCACGCCGCTCCCTGCCGCCGCCCGGTCTCTGGGCGGGGGCGGGGGCGGGTGGCTCGGCAGCGGCCGCCAGCGCCGGGAAGCGCGCCGTCAGTCGGGAGGAGACGGTGCGCACCAGACAGCTGAAGGCGGCCAGCAGGAAGGCGCGCAGCCCAGAGGCGGCGGCCGCGTCCTCTGAGGGAGGGCAGGGAGGGATAAGCAAAAACTATGGAAACATCGTTAGCATAAGGCATTCACGTTGACAGGTGATAAATGAGTAAATGACAACTGCACTTTAAACCAATGACAATGCACAATTAATGCAGCAGCTGTTTGACTTTTCTCTGGGTGTTGAGCGACACAGGATGCTTATGACTACAATGAACATATCGTCATATCGTAAGTTTTCGAGAAAGCGGAAGAAAATAACGCCTTTCAAAGACAGCCTAGTAGTCGGTAACGCACATCATCACCCACCGACCAATAAGCCGAGGATAGCCGGTCCTTCAGTGCTAGCCTAACAGAACCCATCCGGTGCTCAACCCCAGACGGCGCAGCGCCCCCCTGCCGGCACCGCCCGGCACACAGGGCGGTCCTGCCCACCTTTGAGCGTCTGCAGGGCCAGGATGACCACCACGACCATGAGGAGGACGGTGCGCGAGTCGAGCGCGGTGCCGTCCAGCGGCTGGCCGTTGATGGACACTACGCCGCCGTCCGAGGGAGGGTGGAGACAGAAACTGAGCCACTGGAGTGTCTCCTGACAGAGCTGCCGGACGGAGGGTACGCGGTCACTGGACGAGGTGGGCCATGGAAGGGGGGGGGGGGAGCTAGGGGAGGGAGACATTGAGTGGGGATGGATCGAGAGTCTCCTGACAGAGCTGTCGGACGGAGGATACACAGTCACTGGCCTGGGTGGGTTATAGAAGTGAGAACTATGGGAGCTATACATTGGGCCGGCTTACATCAGGCAGGTGGAAGGTTAGAGGTAACGATATTAAATGAGAACATATGTTTGAACGACGGGTGGGAGGTCGAACAGCAATACGCATAGTACCACGGTATCGTTAAAGCAAAATCCAAAGCTGGATGACGTTACAAAACGGTCAGACATGGCAGGGTTCAGCTGTGTATCTGTCACTTGACCATCTACAGCACCCCACCGTTCTCACAGTGCCGCTCCCGCGGCAGGTCACAGCAGCACTCCAGCACAACAGTATCAACCCCGCTATCGCCTCGAGCCTACCCTTAGTACCTACATGCAGGGCTGCGGAGTCGGAGTCGGAGTCGGAGTCGATTTTAGAAACCCGAGCCGGAGTCGGAGTCGGAGTCACCGAAAATCTGTCGACTCCGCAGCCCTGCTAGGCCTGCGGAGTCGGAGTCGGGAGTTGGAGTCGGTCGGAGTCGACAATTCTGCCCGGAGTCGGAGTCGGAGCTGGTTTTTGAAAGCCGGAGTCGGAGTCGGAGTCGGAGTCGCCGAAAATCCATCGACTCCGCAGCCCTGCCTACATGCGTTCCACGCCTCACCATCCCTTAACCGGGACCTAACAATAGACAAATTAACGCACCCCGCCCCGCTTTCAGTCTGCGCTCGGACCTACCCGGACAAATCGGTGCTGTTTGGCGCCCTCCATCAACGTGGCTCCGTAGATGACGTCCAGGAAGCTGATGATGAGGCGACGCCGCGCCGGCACCTCGCTGTTACCGTGCTCCATCTCCAACTCCACCTGGTGGCAGCGTAAGTGGTTAGAGCGGGCATCTCAATCTCCACCTGATATCAGCGTAAGAGTTAGAGCGGGCATCTCCAACTCCACCTGGTGGCAGCTGCGTAAGAGTTAGAGTTTTGTTTGCTTATTGGGGCTTTAGGGCGCGCCGACTGCAAGGTCATTTTGCTCCCATATAAGAGTTAGAGCGGGCATATCCAACTCCATTCGGTCTTGTTAACACCCACAGAGTGAATGCAAATCATATGACACATTTTGCTTCTCCTGGCCCATCTTAGAGACACGAACATAACGCTCCACACTTGGTCATGAAGAACAGCCCGAAACCCAAAAGTTATACAGAACGCTGCACCACAAACTTAGTATCTACAAAGCCAAACCAGCCCACTACCCATCAGTGCCTCCCTACCCACCCCCTCCCACATGCCCCTCTCGCAGTACTGTTTGTTAATTGTTACCCACCCTGCGATTGTGGTTCTTCTCGAGCAGTTTGCGCAGGTTGACCTGACCTCCATCGAACGGCTCGTCACAGGTCATACAGCGCAGGTAATGGTAGGCGGCCTGCAGCCCGTGAGTGGCAGAGCCAGCCAGCGTACCCAGTTGGTTGTGGGGCCGGCCGACTGACGGCGACAGCAGCACCGCCTGGCGGCAGAGGCGAGAGTTAGTGGCGGTAACTGGGGAGGCAGGAAGTGGCTCTGGGGAGGCAGGAAAAGAAAGTGGCTCTGGGGAGTAGAGTTTCTGTTGAAACTCTACTCTGTAGAGTTTCTACAGAGTTTCTACAGAGTTTCTACAGTTTCTACAGAGGGAAGTGGCTAACGATACCGATAGACACAGGAAGGCGGAGGCTCAGCAATGCCATTACATCGCGTCAGTGCAATACCCACTGCATGGAATCGAATTCAACAAAGTCACAAACATGGAATATTAACCACCCACGTTCAAGAGGCAAAATGAGACACCTAATTTATCGGCCAAGAAGCATATCGATGACCATATAATTCCGTATCAATAAGCAACGATTCCAAGATGTTTTGACTCAGTCAGGTTCACTACTCCGTGCCACAGAGTTTCAGCTGCCGAGCACACACCAGCAGAGCCCGTGGTCATCAGTATCTCACAAAGACCTGAGCTCCCTCCCGCACCTTACCTGATTGTAGTAGCGCGCCGCCAGCGTCGGCGGGTAGTCCCCGAGCCTCAGCTCGGACAGATAGCGGGCCAGGTCACCGAGGTTGGTCAGTATCCGCTGCAGGGCCGCCTGGCCCCAGTCGGTGACTGTTCCGGCAGCGTCTGACGGGCGGACCGTCACCGTCTCTGGGGGGAGGTGAGCGGTTATCGAGAGGGGCAGGAGATATTGAAAGTGGAGACACACGGGCTGTTTGTTTATTGGAGCTTAAGGGCCGGCCGACTTGACACATATGGTTGAACACAAGGGTTGAAAGCGGGCACACGGGGTCGGAGGGCAGGCATACGGGGTTCCAAAGGCAGGAGCCAGATGCACAGTGCACATAGTAAAGTCACAGGCCATAACCATTAGCCAGCCAGTGTAGCGCCAGTTAAACAATCTGCGTTCGGAAATTCCAGCGCCAGTCATTCCCTTTCCGTTAATACCAACTGCATCAGATTCACTCCGCAGTAGCATAACAATAAACTTGGGCCAGCCCTCTTCCTCACCAGTTTAGTTGTTTGATTGTTTGAGTCAGCCCTGCCCTGCTTCAGCAGCCGGTGCAGGCTCGCCCCAACGCCCCAATTTCGTCATCCCTGGCCTCCCCAGTAACCTAACCCTGGGTCAGGTCTTCCCTACCTCCGCGGCGGGCACAGAGCCCCTACCCCGTCCCCTCACCCTGGGTCAGTCCGGCCGACCCCATCCCCCTAGTTTCCTAACCCTGGGTCAGTCCAGTAGGCCCAGCCTTAGCCGCCCTTCCCCTCACCCTGGGTCAGTCCAGCAGGCCCAGCCTTACCCGCCCTTCCCCTCGCCCCTGAGTCAGTCCGGCCGGCTGGTTCATTCCCCCTCCCCTCACCCTGAGTCAGTCCAGCCGGCTGGCAGAGCGGCAGGTCGGTCCGCTGGTCGGCACACACTCCCAGCTGGGTCTGCAGGCTGGTCACCAGCTGCTGGTAGCTGCCCAGACCGGCCAGCAGGTGGCTGGCCAGCAGCGCCGTGTCCAGCGCGCCCAGCGGCACCGTCTGCAGGTAGGAGCGGCACAGAGAAATAGATCAGAGATAGAGTCACGCCAGCGAGGCCAGCGGCACCGTCTACCGGGTAGGAGCAGCACAGATAAATGGACCAGAGGGGAGACACGCCAGCGAGGCCAGCGGTACCAGCTGCAAGTAAGAGTGACACAGAACAATGGATCAGACACGGAGACACGTCAGCCGGCGGCCGGGGGTAAAGCGGTAGGAGCGTCCCAGAGTGGTGGATCAGACGGGGAAGCGGCGCCAGTGGACAGGCTGAGCACACCAGCGGCGGACTGTCGCAGTAAGTTTGAATTAAATTTTAAAACAGCTCGAATGTTCAAATGGACGAACTGACAGAGGCGGGAGGGGCCGACGCCAGACCAACACGCAGAGCGTATTGCGTAGGCTTGTTGCGCAGCACCTCTACCGTCCGATTGGGCAATTCCGGATAACAAGAGAATACGATGCCACACTTGCCCATGAAAGTGGGACAACCTGTTTCGAGAGGAACTAGGAGGCACACGGGAAGCATTGGAAATAAGTACGGGGGGGGGGAGGGGGTCACAATTCCGCCACAACGGTGACCAAGAATCGACACTAAAGTGAACACTAGAAATCCACCAAAAAAGAAAATGTTGGCCAAATCATTAACTAGCAAGGGTTCAATAATAAACTAACAGTAACAAATATATCTAAAAAATAATAATTGCGTGTACCACAGACTCAACTCCCACACGACCAGACCACACCCCATTTACACGGCACCCCCGTCCCCAGTCCCCCTCTATGACTCCTTACCTGTCCGGTCTGTTTGGCCAAGCTGTAGGGCTCATAGTGGACCTTCCTCCAGAGCAGCTCCTCGGCTCGTCGGCCGCTCTCCTCCGGGTCGGTGATCAGCAGGTGTTCGCAGAGCTCGCGCAGCCGCAGCCTGGGGAAGTGAGGAACAGGAACACAAAGCGGTCACAACACCGTCACACAACGGTCCACAGCGCCCACATATAGTCAGAGCTCGCGCAGCCGCAGCCTGGCGAACCGAGCGACAGGAACACACAGCGGTCACATATGTCAGACTTCAGAGCTCGCGCAGCCGCAGCCTGCGACGCCCGAGCATCAGTCACACACAGAGGTCACATACAGTGGCACCAGTGGTACAGTGGTATGTGGCATACAGTGTCATAAAGTGGTACCCGAGATATCACTCAGAGATTATACACCATACAGCCGACCGAAACACATATAAAGGACACAAAAGTCACGGATAAATCACACAGGTGAGACCGCACACAACTGAGATGTCACACAAGGTCAACGGACAGGTCTCACAACAGTTACAGTTGCTACGCAGATACAACAGAATACCGACAGTTGTTGCTCCCAAAAGGGCCACGGTGATAAACAAAGAAAAAAAGAAGCAAAGAAACACAGAAGACCTCTAAAACAGAGCACAATTAAACAATAGCTATACATTTACGTTGCCACAAAAACGTGATTAGCAGTCATAAATTGATTAAAAATAGTCAAATCCAGGCAAAGGGCTAGCGATCTTAAATGGAAATAGTTCTTTGACTGGGGTGAGAATGTTCAATGGATAAAGCGTCTCGTCCTGCAGTTCAGTTGGCAGAGCGTTGGACTTCCGGTGACGGTATCCCGGGTACAAGTCTAAACGGCGCTCGATAAACATATAAACCTTGTCACGGGGATAGTCCGCGGTTGATGGGAGCAGTCGCAGCCATTTATGTATTACATCAACAGACACTCCACACATGGTTGTGGCTATTCTGTGCCTTAAGTAAGATAGATAAAACAAAGTGTCAATGAGGTTTGAGGGATGTCACGCAACATGTACACAGCATACATACACGCACACACCGCTCATGCACACACGGTCGTAAAAGCTACTGCAGTACCAGCGACTTGGCAGCGCGCTTAAAAGCAGACGGGCCCAGAGCTCGGGTCTCGATTGGTAGGCGGTTGAGAAGCGTCATAGCTCGGTAACTAAAAGATCGCTGTCCGGTCACGGTTCGGAAAGCCGGCGGCCGAAGACGCCCGTCCTGTCTAGTTGGCCGGTCACAATTGCGCGCGTCGGAAAAGCACTGGAAGAGTGAGGCCAGTTCGGACGGCTCTCCACTGACAAGTATCTTGTGAGCTGCAGTCAAGGTATACAAATCATGCATTTGCCGCGGCACCATAAAACACAACTGATTTCGCGCTCGAGAGATGTGAACAAATTTCCTAAGACCGGTCACTACACGCGCTGCAAAATTGACAACCTTGAGCATCCGAGCATCGTTCGCCGCGGATCCGTTCCCGTAAACTGTGATGCAGTAAGATACTCGCGAAAGCACCAAACTCTGAACTATTGAGAGCAGAGCCCTCTGCGGGAGGAAATGTCTCAGGTGACGGAGACCGATCAGGATGCCGATGCACTTGTGAACGATATCGGTCACATGTGCTTCCCAAGTCAGATGTTTGTCAAAAATAACGCCGAGATTTTTAGCAGTGCGGCTCTCCTGAACGGTCTCCCCACCGATCCGTACGCTGACAGGAGGGAGGTGCCGGGTGTTCTGTCTGGTACCAAGGAGAAGGAGTTCAGTTTTGGAAGCGTTGAGTTTCAGACCATGAGCATGGAACCATGAAGACAGGGATGCAAGGATGGTCTCCATGCGTTGGATGAGGGATGGGAGATTGGATTTGCCGTCGGATATTAGGATTTGGGTATCGTCGGCGTACTGGATCACATGGGCGTCCGGCGCGTGCAGACTGAGGTCATTAGCGAAGATGGTGAACAGGAGAGGACCGAGGACGGATCCCTGGAACACTCCCATGGTGTTAGGAAGGGGCTTTGAAACCACTCTACGACCGGAAGGACTGGAGATAGAGACTGACTGAGAATGACCGGAAAGGTAAGCGGAAACCAAGTGGGATCTATGTTGTACAGTTCTAGCTTGGAAAGGAGTAGATGATGTGGGATGACATCAAAACATTTGCTAAGGTCCAGGAGACATAGGAGTGAGATATGACCATGATCCATGTTGGAAAGGATACGATTTGTGACAGATAGTAGAGCGGTTTCAGTGGAATGATGAGGACGGAAGCCGTGCTGGGATGAGGATAGGAGGTGATTGTGAGACATGTAGGCAAGCAGCTGGCTCTGCACCACACGCTCAACAATCTTGGCCATGACAGGTACAATGGAAATAGGACGGTAATTGGAGGTCATGGCAGGATCACCGGATTTGAAAATAGGGAACACCAGGGAGTGTTTCCAGGTTTGGGGGAAGTCACAGGAGGTAAGGCATGTGTTGATAATGTGGAGAAGGATGGGACTTATGGCGTCAAAACAGAGGAGTAGGATGCGGATGCAGATGCCATCAGACCCACACGCACCGGAGCGCCTCATGGAGAACATAACCTCCCGCAAGCCGGCAAGGGTTGTGCCCGCCACCCGAAACCCACACGCACCCACGCGGGGCAGACGGCACGGGACATCAGGCGGCGGACCGAGGCCAGCCAGGCTAGCGGCTACACGTGGTCCCACACTCACAAAATGCTCGTTCATCTCGTCCGGTGTAGCGGCGGGGAGGTTGCGCGCGCCGTCCCTCTTCCCTGTCAGAATGGGTCGGATACTGCGGTACAGGGAGCCGCTCCCTCGAGTACGCAGACTCTCCTCGATACCCGCACAGCAGTCACGACGGATGGCTGACCTGACCTGCCTATCCAGATCGCGGAAGGCCGGCGATTTGCCCTCGCGACGCAACACTCCCCGCCGCTGTGCCATCAGGTCGACGGTGGCACGGGTCACAGGTGGCGCGTTCGGGTTCCTGATAGTAATACATTTGATTGGAGCATGCTTGTCAATGATCGGAACTAAAACGGAAAGAAAATGAGACCACTTATCACACACGGAAACGGAATTAAAAACCCTAGACCAGTCAGCGAAGTACAAGTCATGCAACAAACGCGTACGGTCGACATCCTTCAATTTGCGAGTGGGGATACGACAGGGCTTTGGACGACATCTCGTAAACTTTAAAAGTGATCGGACAAAACAATGAGGACTAAAAGCGCATCTAAAAACTCTTATTTTCTTAACACCGTCGCCCGCATTGGAAATCACAACGTCGAGCAAAGAACCTGATGAGAATGTGGGTTGTGAGACGAATTGAAACAGATGAAAAGCTTCAAGCATGTCAGCCAGGCGAGCTCGGCCGGCGTTAGTCATAGAGTCAAGCATATTGAAGCATTTAACGTCGTTGCAGTTGGAAAAAAGTTCAGCAATAATTTAACCGCTCTGCAAAACATCTACACCATAACCATCCATTCACAGCACAGCAGGACAAAACAGAGCACACAATCGCAGAGAATGAGACCGTTTACTGTTGGTTGGAAGCTGTTTTCCCGCACGTACTGACCTGAGGACGTTGTTGCTGGGGCTGAAGATTTCGGGGACGGTGCCGGCCTTTCGCAGATTTTCGTCCAGACGGCGAGCCAGCTCCGCCGCTGAACTGAAAACAACAGAGTTGGATGGGTCAGGGATAGCACAGGACACAGAGGTCAGCATTGCAACCGAATACCGATTACATTACCCAGCACTGGGGCCAGGGCAGGTAGCAGAGAGGGCAAGGGCATTATTCCACGGGCGTGCATTGTTTTAGCGGCGAGTGATGTAGGGATATGGGCGAGACCAAGTAACGTAAGGGCAGACGAGAAAGTCTAAGGACGGGACACGGTGTCAAAGGCAAGTTTGAGCCTTTGAAACATTTTAAGACGCCATATGGAAGGTATGAATCAAATATGTACAGCACTGACGTTTCCCACAATGCACTGTCCGGCATTGTTGCAACTTGGAAAAATAAACGAAAAACGAAACAGAAGAAAAATGTATCAAAATATCGACCACTTCCAGCACCTTTGCAGAAACTCGTCCCTTTTAGAAGGGTGCTCAGTTGACAATGAACTTCATGGCGGACGGATGTGCCACTTTCAGCGACCAGCGTCACACCAGATATCAGACCCGTCCCTGGGATATGTCATGTGCAGCTGCAGCTGCACATAACACATAATCCATTTCGTCGCAGTGCAAAACTACACAAACCAGCCCAGACGCGCACAGTCGCGGGGGAGGGGGCTGCATAACTTAGACGATGACCACTGTTCAGAAACAGATGTCCTAAACCTCTCGAAGTTTCGAAGTTACAGTGTAAACCAATCGCTAGGTAACGAGCCAGTCTATCATCCATGGATTGAGTGATCCATGGAGATACATTGCTGACGCTTACAAAGTCCAGCGCAGCTACCAAAGTGCCCGGTTGCCAGCTGAACTTACGACATCGCCCGTGTTTTCGAATCATATAAATATACGAAGGATGACTACATATACGGTACCCATATACAAAGCCGGTCAGTCAAGCACAGAGAGTCAGTTTGCGATCCGCCGCACTAGTGCGATAGTCACCTATCACCGCCCCCGTCAGCGCTGTAATTGCTACCGACCATGGGTCACCGGTCGCTCTTACAGTTGGTAATCGGCGTGTTGCTGACACTCCTGCTCGCCGCGCCGCCGGGCGCGTGGTGTTCTGACGCCGCCCCGGGCGAGGACGCCACCCTGGTCGGCACGCTGGACCAGCTGTGGACGTTTCTGGAGCGGGTGGAGCGCAAGGTGTCGATCTCCGTCTCCAAGGAGGTGAGCGCCCGCCTGGATGGTCTCCAGACCCGGCTGAAGGGCCACGTGAACAGCATGACTAAGCGTCTTGACGGACAGGAGGAGCAGATCGGCCGACTGGGGGCACAGCTCGGAAACCTCTCCGAACGGGTGGACGACGCGTCTCGACAGGGGAGTGTCTCGCCAGTTGTCAGCCAGAAATTCCCTCGGGACTGCAGTGACCTGCCGGCGGGCACCGCCAGCGGCGCCCACCTGCTGCAGCCGGGTCTGGACCGGTCCGTGCCGCCCACCCCGGCCTTCTGTGACCTGGAGTCGGACGGCGGCGGCTGGACCGTCGTCCAGCGGCGCGACGACATCCCCCCGCGGGAGGACTTCTACCGCGGCTGGCAGGACTACAAGCAGGGCTTCGGCGAGTTCGATGGAGAGTTCTGGTGGGGCCTCGAGAGCCTGTGGAGGATGACGTCACCGAGAGACCGCCGCTACGAGCTGCGAGTCGACCTCTGGGACTTTGACGGCAGCACGAGACACGCCGTCTACAGCAACTTCCGCGTCGCCTCCGAGATCCAGGGCTACGCTCTGACCATCGGCAACTACACGGGTGACGCCGGAGACAGCCTCAGCTTCCACAGGGGGATGCAGTTCACCACGAATGACGTGGACAACGATATTCACGAAGCCAACAACTGCGCGCACAGCCACGAAGGCGCCTGGTGGTACAAAAACTGTCATCGTTCGAATCTGAACGGCCGCTACCTGGGGAGAATGACCCCAAGCAAGGCAAATGGTGTCTCCTGGTTCGATTGGAGAGGTCACGACTATTCCCTGAAAACAGTGACCATGAAAATACGACCAACCAAACCACTGTAAAACGTGCGACAATGCAGGGCCTTTGGTAATAAATGACAATGCTAATGCTTCAATTGCAGTGATATTGTTCACAGTTCATACATCAATTTGACATGTTTGCTGAACATTTGAGCGAAACCCGTTGTTATTTTTGCGGAAAGGACGTTTTAGTGACGTCACATCACGCCATTTTCGCTTTAAAAATGCAACACTTCAAACGCGGCCAACATCCTCAGTCTTTAAGATATCAGGACGTAACAAAAAAACATGTAGGACGCATTTCTACTTTGTCATTCAAACGGCTATCTCGGGCCAAAAAAGATTAGATTTTACGATATATGAGACTGTAAAGTCATACTTAAACCCTGAACCCAGGTATATTAATGATAATAAATCGTTTAGCGGACTGACTCTGGATGTAAAGAAGTTATTTTTCCCTGTACTTTATTCGCTTTTCGCTTATAAGTTGTCTGCGTGTCCGTCAGCCTTATGTGTCTTAATGCGCCGGCACGGCGCCGCGTATCGACGTGAAATTTGGTGACCACAAATACCCACAGTCAGTCCGCTAAACGATTTATTATCATTAGATTTTACCCCAAAATTTTCTTCAAAAAACTAATTGTTTTTGGAAAATCATTATAAATTCCAAAATTTTGCTTTTATAAAAAAAAAAACGGAGCAAATATTACAGAAGTAGTATCTGTGCACCTACAATCCAATTTTTGGAAGAATCGGTTTAAAAATGTAGGAGTTATTCAATTTTGGATGACGTCACGGCTCACAACATTTTCATAAAATCAAATCTGTGGAAGTTGTAGATCTCGTACGGGAACGAAAATAGCACCATTCGATTCGCCATGAAAACTGCATCGGATAGGCATCTTTTGGGCCTTAACAATCAATTTCAAAATTTGACCTCTCACCTCGTTTGATCTGACTTCGACCTGCAATTAATCCAAATGTGGTCCATATCAATAATTGAGTGTGCCCATTGAATGCTATGAATAAAATGACCCATAAAACATGTGTCGTACATGTCCTATTCTATATTTTGCTTTTGGTGACCTGACCTTGACGTTGAACTTTGCATGACATTGTATGCACTGAATCTTGTCTTGGTAGCCTACGAACCGAACACATTAACCCTCGCCGGCACAGGCCATTTTACGTCCTTCGACGGCACAGGGGGGGGGGGGGGGTACGACCCCCCTCGCGTTTGGCCCCTGATTGAGCTAGAGCTTCGCGGAAAAAACAAGCGTGTTGCCCGTGACGAGAGGAATCTGATGATAAATAACTTTAAGGTCCTAGGTCATCAGTTGACCTTCCAGGTCAGGTTAATGACCCAAAAGTCGGGAAAATCGGGACCTGTTGGAACGTCGTAAAGTGAGGCTGCAATGAGGTTTTTCGGGGTGCTGATCAAGTGATCACGCATATCATGTTAGTTTTGATCACAGATGATGTCTTCATGCCTTAAGGCCAGATCGGGTCAGGTCAGGTCAGGTCAACCAGTAAGGGTCCTGCCGGGTATACGTAGTAGGTACGTGTCAACCGCCTCTGACAGCTTCGTTACATGTTACGAAAGCACCAAAACTACTTCACAAATGTTCAAATGGTTGCTAAATTCGAATTCAGCTCTTAAAACTAGCCTAGAAACATACATAACTCGAAAATGAGAACCGAGGTCATCATAGGTCAATGGCCTGACCTGACCTTCAGGTGACCTTGGCATCCACCCTACTGCATGAAGGCAGCATCAAATCACATGTTTGAACGCTTGAAACCACGAAAAGACTGCAAACGCGCGGCTAATGCGAGCCGACATACGCCGAATCGCGATTCCGGCCAAACATGGTCTCAAAAAGGTAACAGGTCAAAGGTCGTTTGGGTCAGGGTCATGAAATTTTCAGGGAAGGTGTAAAATTGATCATCGCAAGGGTACTGAAAGTTTTGTCACGATCGGCAGCTTTTTACGTGAGTTATTTGCCAAAAACCTTAGGGGGGATGCATCAACCCCCCTGTGCCGGCGAGGGTTAGGGATAATCAATCTCAAGCCATTCCTCGCCAACTGCGCTACAAAGTCGATAATGCAGAAACTTGCATTTTGCACCCTTGATCTGACCTTGAATTCACCTCTGACCTACTAACCGATTTTTTTTTCGGCACCATAGCTCCGTCTTGTTGAGAGCTCTCGATTGCCGCTTTCCTCGTCTTTCTACGACCATCGCGATGGTCGGTTCGGAAGTTAGACAAAGGGGGGGGGGGGGCTGAATACGCTCCCATCCACCAAGCAGGGCGCGTAGTGTTGAATAGCTGATGTCTAGCCCGATCTATCTGCCAATGATTTAAATTCATTCTTTGTAATTTTATCTGCCGGTCCTCGTGTCGCTGACGAGATCCGAGCCAAAAACCCAACCACCGATTTGGACGTGCGTTTCACCCGTGTCGGCGCTTGCATTTTTTTTTAAACTCCGTGAGATCATACTTGTGGAGCTCGAGCGGATTACTTTCAGCATGCGTAGCTCCTTGTAGCTCCGACAATGTATGCGTTCGCGTGCTGAAAGTCGGATTCCCCGCTGTTGGTGGTGTCATCTTGCATATTATCAATGCCTACCTAAACATCCCCGATTCATGGGAAACATTCCATAGTTCATCCTCTGTTGAAGTCCGGCAATCCTTCAGACCCCGCAAACTTCCGGCAATTCCTGTAATCATGAAAGTAGTTGAACGCATTGTCCATCAGTAGCTCTACGTCTACTTCTCTCATAATCACCTCCTGGCATCCTCTGAGCACGGCTCCCGCCCTCCGCACTCCACGGAAACCGCGCTGCTGTCCGTCACTGAACAACACATCCTGGCCGCCACCGATGGGGGGATTTGGCAATGCTATGCCTTCTCGATCTAAGTAAATGTTTCAACGTGATCGACCACGATCTTCTGCAGTGGCGGCGGAACACCTTCAATTAAGGGGGGAGGGGGCACCTCCGACTTTTGGTCCCATTCTTTCCATGCAACGCTCATAGGACTAATGTTAAAATGTCAAAATCAAAGGGGGGCACGGTGCCCCCCTCCGTTCCGCCGCCTATGGTCTTCTGACGCAAAAACTGATGTTGCACGGCATCGAAATTTCCTGGTTCGCCGCCTTTCTTCATGACCACACTCAGAGCGTGTCCTTGAAGGATGGGCCCGGACGTAGAGTGCTGTCTCGGCCTCTTTCTAATGTCATGGGTGTTTTCCAAGGCTCTGCATTAGGGCCGCTGCTTTTTACCATCTTTAACAGTCTACCACCACAGCTGTAGTAGCTGCCTCCCAACCGCTTAATCAGCTCTGTTAAAGCAATCAAGTACCTAGGTATTGGTAATATGCAAGATGACACCACCAAAACGGCGCGAGCAATTTTGCGCTGAAATTTCTGTGTGATTTGCGCCAAAAGTAAGGTGCCCATTTGTGCGAAAATTAAGCCCTTTTTATATAAAGCACATGTGCACATCTACCGATCAAGGCTATATGAACCAGACTGTTCCGGGTCCGGGTCCCAATACCTCAGCAGTCTTAGCGCACTATAGCTTCATGCCGTTAAACAAAGCTGGAGCCGTGATTTCCGGAGCCACAAATTTGTGCCGATGTTAATATCGGCGGAGCAGTGTGCTCGAGGCTGGCGGGAGTCAGCGAGGGCCGGGCAGCAGAACAGCATGTGCTCAGGCACATCACCCTCTTCTCGGCACACGGCGCAGAGCGCCGCGGGGCACCGCTTGTCTGGGCACTGCTGGCACGCCGCGGAGTGGAGACAGCCGATTCGGTGCCGTATTGGAGCGAGCGGTCCCAGTGGCCCGCCCTCATCTCGTGCACCGAAACGGCATCCTCTCGGTCCTCTCCGGGGATAGGGAGCGGCGGCGTGCTCTCGACGAGTGGCTTGAATAGTGATTCTGAGCAGTTGTCACGCTCTGCGCCGCACAGGGCGATGCGAGGCCGTACAGTGAACCGCCCTGGTCAGCGAGTGGGCGTTTGAGGGCAGGGCGGCCGCCTGTTTTGCCAGGTCGTCCGCGCTTTCATTTCATTTCATTTCATTGATTTCCCTCGATACCGCAGTGGGCAGGAACCCACTGCGGTATTAACGACGCTTGGCGATGTTCAACAAGGTCTTCTTTACCTATCTCCATGCCGAGGGTTGAGGCCTCACCTGGGCGCCCGCTTCTCCACTGAGTTCGAGCGGCTCACCAGTTCGAGCACGCGGCGACCGGGGTGGGGACGTCTCGTCCCGAAACCTCTCCAGAGCCGCCCGCGGGGCGAATCTGCTGCTAGATCGACCGAAAAATTCGTCCGCCACCATGCGCTGAATTCGGTGCAGGCGAAGTTACACCGGACGTGCGCTGAAAATTTCGGCGCAATCCCGCCACTACGCCGGACATATTCGGCATAACATGTTTTTTCCAGTCTGGGTCGAATTCGCATGGTCTGTGTGGTCAACCAGTGAAAGCCCAAGCAACTTCATAAAAATATAAAAAACTGGAAGCATGCTGATGAAAAAAAGCAGCCAGACATTTCGGGCCAAACAGTGCTGTTGGCAATATGCTGCACGACTAGACTGAGATCGTGTGGTAACAGTAAGATAACAATTTACAGTTGGTTAGTTGAGGCTGAAAACCTCTTCTATCTGATTTTTCTGCACCAGTGACTCGAAACAAAAATAAAATCAGATTCAACTTACCTTAAACTTCGTTTCCTTCCATCAGAGTCACATGAATTTTTCAAAATACTTTTCATAGCTTATCACATTTTCAGTCTCACAAAAAGCCCTACTATCGGTGCCGATCCAGCAGTTATTACTGCAATAACAAAGTGATTTGAATTAAAACACACCTCAACTTCCAGCTACACACACGGCACACGGCCTTGCACTCTAATTAATTTAAATGATCATGTTCTCCCAAATATGCTGACAGATGTACACGCAAACTGGAAGTACGTCATAGACTGGATATTTCATAAACGCACCTCAGCAATATTCAAGAAAATGCAGATAATCAGTTTTTAAAAAGTGTTTCAACAAGAACAAAATTAATATAAAAAAGAAAGGGAAGGTAGCCAATATTTTTATTACTTTTTAGTTATTCCTCCAGTTCTGTGTTCAAATTCCAATTAGTCTCAAGAAAAAGAACAAGCTGGTTATGGCGCATTTGCGCCAATTGATCAATTTTATCCAATAGCAAGCTGCTACTAAAAAATATACAATGATTTTCATTAAAACTCACACACTTTTACATACCAACTTTCAAATAACCACAAGTAACAGTCGCAAAAAAAGTCACTTCTGCCCCTGCTGCGCAGAAGTGACTAGGTCAGCCTCCAGCTAGCCACAAGCCCAGGAGTCTGTGTGTGTTATACACAAATGCTGACCAGTTCGTGAGTAAGCGGGATGACATGTGCATGCTCATCTGTAATGACGAGCCTGATCTGATTATGGTAACAGAGACAATTCCCAAGGCCCAAAAAGTTCCCATAGCCCCCGCTCTCCTCAACATACCTGGGTACACACTCTACACCAATTTCTCGCTATCATCTCCTAATCTTGGATGCAGCGGCATAAGAGGAGTATGCATCTACGCAGCTAATTATCTCAGGGTGTCAGAAGTCTCTCTCAGCTCATCGTCAGTGGAACATGTGTGGCTTAGACTGTCACTGATTGGGAGTGACTGTCTGCTGCTGGGATGTGTTTACCGCAGTCCGTCAAGATCTGATGAAGAGCATGCCACTCACCTGGGTCAGCTCATTCGACACACTGAAAAAATTTTTACTCACTTTTCTGAGTAATGACTGAGTTGCCATTTTGTCCAATGGTAAAACTCACTCTAAATCCGCGTACTCAGGTAAAACTCAGGGCGGAACGCAGGTAAAACTCGGGCAAAACTCATTGCAAGTGAGTAGCATGTGAGTAACAAAGTGAGTTGCCATTTTGTCCGATGGTAAAACTCAGATAAAATTCAGTAAGTACTCATGCGTAACTCATGTCCTACTCAGACAACTCAGGCCAAACTCAGGTATTAGTAAGTCATTACTCATGAAAAACTAGGAAGTAACTCACATGTAACTCAGCTGGTACTAATGTATAACTCAGGTGGTAGTACGGCCATAACTCAGTTGGAACTCATCGGTTATTCAGTGAAAACTAGGGCTGTACTCAGGACGTACTCACGTCGATAACTCATACGATACTCGGGTGTTACTCAGGCGCCGCCTGAAACGGCTGATCTGATTCGTTTTATATTGGCTCAAGCCAATGTATAGGCTCGCCGCCCATGATAACAGCTGCCGCATCAGCATTATGCAATATGCATGCATGATGCTCATACAACAGCCACTACCAGGCAGCTAGTCTATATATTGGGATTGGCCAATATATAACGAATCATTGCCCAAAACCAGCATACATATCTGTATTATACCATGCCCGACCAACGTCTAGTCTTGCACTATTCGCCCCAGCCCTTACAAGAAATACATGTTTGTAGAAACGGTCGCATTGCGCTGTATTTCAATTCTGACACACGCCAAACTGCGTCGGGGGGGGGGGGGGGATCGACTCCACGTCAGCTCAGCTTCACTCTTTTGCCAGCTTCTCGACCTCAGTCTTCGCGGCTACAGGTGGCTGGCGCTCAGCATTGAATGGTGTGTGGAGCACATGGATACACACAAACCACAGCGTGTTTCGCACTTTGTGCGCCGTTTGTTGACTGAGCACAAAGTGCGCCGTCGCCCACAGCAAAAGACTCCCTTCCAAACCATGGATCCCCACAAGACTTCCGTTCGCTCCACGATGAGGCGGCACCGTTCGTTTTCTTCGGACTTGTTATGATAGGGGTGATCCAAATTTTCGTCACCCGTGTACGCCACCACTGACGCCTTCTCCGCCAAGATGCAGAGGAGGCTCAATGGGCCGTTCCCTGAAAACACAATAAAAAAGTCAGATTTTCTTTTGCCAGTAAGAGAAACGGAAGTTATAGGGCATGCAAGGTGATTGAAATATCAAAAGTTATCAAGTTACTTCAGCTCAAAATTAATGTTAAACCGCGCCGTGCTGGTGCTCTGAGTTTACCGTGATGTACTGGGGGGAGGGGGTCGTCTTCACGTCCCCTCTTCTAACTCGGCTGTTGGGGTTGGGCCACGTAGCAACACGCCGTAAGCGGCTTTCGAAAAAGCATTAAAGATATTTAAGGAAATACTTGGGTAATTTTAAGGTCAAGTCAAGTGCCAGGTCACCAGAGGTCAGGAAAGGCCAAATTTTGCTTATTTCAATATTTTCGAAAAACTGGTGCTTAACTCGGAACCAAAAGAGCTGCCCGCGGAAAAATGCAGTCAAAGCCCTTTCGACTTTTTTTTTTGCTGGCGTTTGATCTCAGATTTGACCTCAGGGTCAACAATTAAGCCTCCAGAGAGCAAAAACTCTAAAAAAGCCGTTTTTACCTAAATGTTTTCTGTAATACTTTCCACTCAAGAGTCACGACATTTATTTTGCCGTTAGCATAGTGTTCCTCTCGTCGGGACGAATGAACTATAATTAGACCTTGAAAGGCCATATTTAAAACTTGACCTTAGGTTGACCTGACCAGGTCATGTTGCATATCAGTCGATCCAAACCGTCAAGCTGAACACATATGAGGTGTTTTATTGCACTAGCAAATATATTTTATATGTACATGCCGTAAGGTTGATACTTGAGACATGGTGATGGGACAGTATCAAAAACGCTATACAATGAAATCCGTTCGATATTTTTTTGACATTTTACCTCAAACTGGTGTGAAATCGAGCGGTGAATTCCCTGAGCGAAAATGACAAAAATATCGAACGGTTTCCATGGCACGTTGCGAACGGTGCGATCGTCAGCGACCATTGAAATTTTTCCGATGTTAAGTCATTTGACGTGACCTGACCTTGAACGACCTGGGTCTAAAATTTCTTCACATGGAGAAACAAATGTATGAGCAGGTGTGCCGAAAATGGTGGCGCTGCGCGCCGCCGTTCTTAGATATTCGCGAAAAACCTGAGGGGGCGGGGTGGGGGGCGTAAAACGCCACCCAGCACAGCGCGGGTCAAGGTCGGATGGTCACCTTAACAGTCGGGTTTTAGTCTCGCAAAACACTTCCATGGGCGTCCAATATTAAAATCAGCTTGAAACAATCACATAAAATGTGTTATACTTAACAGTAATGGAAATAAGCATGTCACGTCCAAACGCGTCTCGCCGCGGTATCTAATAATCTAATATGTAAGGAAGGTTGAAAATGCTCGCTGAAATCGAATAGTGTACGAAAATATGTGTGTAGGCATTAAAAAAAAACAGTCGGAAAAATAATAACAGTGGAAAAATAATAAGCACAAACGAGACAAAAGAATCTTAAACGGTTCAGCGAGCGGAATTAAGACCATGGGCTCCACCACCGGGGGGGGGGGGGGGAAGGGTACGGGGGACGTGTCCCCCAATATTTTACATTTTTAACATTGTGCCTATGGATGCTGCATGGAAAGAATCGACTTCAAACCACCTTCGCCCCCCCCCCCCAAAAAAAAAACATCGGGTCGTGACGGAGTTCTTGTTTAAAGAAGTAAAAAGGGTCAAATGAACGTTCTTTTAGGATAAGGACAACATTATCCCACAAACATGTTTTTTTAACCCTCGCATGTGTAGGGGGGGGGGGGGTCGGATTGACCCCCTTTCCCCATGGTTTTTCGCGAATAACTCGCGTAAAAAGCGGCTGATCGCGACGAAACTTTCAATACCATCGCATTGATCAATTTTACACCTACCCTGAAACTTTCATGACCCTGACCCAAATGACCTTTGACCTGTGACCTCTTTTCCGAGACCATGTTTGGCCGGAATCGCGATTCGGCGTACGTCGGCTCGCATTAGCCGCGCGTTTGCAAGCTTTTCGTGGTTTCAAACGTTCAAACATGTGATTTGATGTTGCTCCCATGCATTAGGGTGGGTGTCAAGGTCACCTGAAGGTCAGGTCAGGTCACTGACCTTTGGTGACCTCGGGTGACCTCGGTTCACTTTTTCGAGTTTTACATGTTTCTAGGCTAGTTTTTGGAGCTGAATTCGAATTTAACAACCATTTGAACATTTACGAAGTAGTTTTGGTGCCTTCGTAACATGTTACGAAGCTGTCAGAGGCGGTTGACACGTACTACGAATACCCGTCACGACGCCTACTGATTGACCTGACCTGACCTGACCCGACCTGGTCTAAATGCTTCAAGACATCATCTGTGATCAAAACTAACACGATATTCGTGATCAGTACCCCGAAAAACCCCTTAGCAGCCACACTTTACGACTTTCTAATAGGTCCCGATTTTCCCGACTTTGGGTCATTGACCTGACCTGGAAGGTCAACCAATGACCTAGGACCTTAAAATTGGGTATCATCGGCTTCCTCTCGTCACGGGCAACACGCTCGTTTTTTCCGCGAAGCTCTAGCTCGATCAGGGGCTAAACGGCAAGGGGGGGGGTCCAACCGACCCCCCCCCTACACATTAGAAGCTGGAAAACGCCGCACACATGCAAGGGTTAAATTTAAATATAACATAACTCACCTCTTCTTTCTCGAACTATGCCGGGTAGGTATCCCTCAGTTTCTCGATCGATCTGCTCCGCCGTTCACGGTTGGCACCGACCTCCTGACGCCGGCGGGGAATGTCTGCTGGTCCAAGGCTATATAAACCAGGTAGAACGTTCCCGACGAAAAAGTGGTGACAAGCGATAATTAGTAGCCGCGACCCTCACTTGTTCAAAACTATATCCGCAAGCAGCATTTACAGGCTAGCGGAAATCGACCAATCGGCGTTCGGCAATACTCGACGCTGATTGGCCCGATGCTCGTGACGAAATTGCGGGGGACTGTAGCTATTTCCCTATGGCGTTTAATAGACTTACGGCTTTTGAAGGGGATTTATACCAGTTTTTGTTGGGTTTGAGGCCATTTTTGAGCTTGGATATTCTTTCTGTGACTTTTGACTGTGTAATAACGACATTTAATCATGACATTCTATATACTACCGGTGTCACATCGGCCAAAAAGACCGTAAGTACATGGGATAGACGGACCACTGCTGATGGGGCCACACATGTCGGCGTGTGGTCATCGGAGGTCCGTGAGGGT